GGGGGACAATATTTGCAAGGCACATTTCTGATAAAGAACTTGTATTCCAAGTATACAAAGAACAGTTAAAATTCAACAATAGAATAAAAACAACCAAATTTTAAAATGACAAAAGATACCGGAGCAGACACCTCACCAAAGAAGATATACAGATAGCAAGTAAGCATACGAAAAGATGCTCCATGTCATATGTCACTAGAAATTTCAAATTAAAATGATAAAGAGAAAACCAGTATGCACACCTATTAGAATGGCTAAACTCCAAACAAAGACAACACTAAATACTAACAAGGAAGTGGAGCAACAGGAATTCTCATTCATTTCTGGCAGGAATGCAAAATGGTACAGCCACTTTGGAAAACATATTGGCAGTTTCTTACAATGCTAAACATATTCTTGCCAATGATCCAACAATCATACCCTTTGGTATTAACCCAAATGAGTTGAAAATTTATATCCACACAAAAACCTATATACAAATCTTTATAGCAGCTTTATTCATAATTGCCAAAACTTGGAAGCAACAAAGATGTTCTTCAACACACAAATTGATAAACAAAATGTGATACATCCATACACTGGAATATTACTCAGCAGTAAAAAGAAATGAGCTACCAAATCAGAGGAAGACATTAAGAAATTTTACTTGTTATTGCTAAGTGAAAGAAGCCGGTCTGAGAAGCCTATACAGGGTATGATTCCAAATATATGATATTATGGAAAAGGCGTAAGTGTGAAGACAGAACAAAGATCAGTAGTTGCCTAGAATTTTGGGAGGAGGGAGGAAGGGAAAAGCAGGTGGAGCACATGGGATTTTTAGGGTAGAGAAAATATTTGGATCACACTGAAGTGGTAGAATTATGACATTATTTTCTTTTTCTGAGACAGAGTCGCACTCCGTTGCCCAGGCTAGAGTGCAGTGGCATCGTCATAGCTCACGGCAACCTAAAACGCCGCTCAAGCGATCCTCCTGCCTCAGTCTCCCGAGTAGCTGGGACTACAGGCCCAGGCCACCATGTCCGGGTAATTTTTGTATTTTTTGTATATGTGGGATCTTGCTCTTGCTCAGGCTGGACTCAAACTCCTGGCTTCAAGCAATCCTTCAGCCTGAGCCTCCCAAAGTGTTAGGATTACAAGCATGAGTCATCCCTCCTGGCCCAAAATGATGTTTTGAAGTATATATACATTGTGAAATACTTTAGCTAATGTTTTTCACAGAAATTACTTTTTTAGTTAAATATATATTTAGTTAAAATTAGTTAAATATAGTTATAGTTAAATATTTAGTTAAACATAAATTTTTAGTTAAAATATTCCTTAATGAGCCAACAACTGTTTATGTGAAGGAGAGTCCTGTATGGGAAAAATTCATTTGTATAGACATAGGTTTCTTGGGTCAAACTAAGATGACTGCCAGAGTGTTTTTTCTGCTCCAGTCCTCCAGCAAGCTGGCCTTCCCGGGAGACACATTTAGGTAACCAAGGTATTATCTCCTATGCAAATCAATGTGATCACGCTTTCACTTGGCATGTTGCCACTATTGTTCTGAGCCATATATAAGCACTTGCCATATTCTCGCCGTGTGCTGCATTCCCCCAACAATAAACAGTATGTCTTATGTGCACCCCTCTGCTGGTGTCTTCTTTCAATTTCTGAAAACTATTCCAGTGCACTCGCTAGCTGAAGAGTCCCCTCCCCACATTTGGCAAAGCCGGCAGGATTCAACTGGGGTAAGCATCTCCTCCGCCCCAGTAGGGGAGGCTATGTGGCCTCCCACGAGCTTGTGGTACCCAGTGGCAGCGGTTCTCATGTCGTGGGCCCTTGCCACGGAGTGGAAGGTGGTGGAATGTAGGCCTGCCGCCCTGGAATAGGCCTTGTGGGCCTTGGAAGAGTGACTGCGGCCTGGGGAGTGAGCGATGGCTGGTCGGGTGGGCTGACTCTTCCTTACAGCCCTCCATGAGAAGCATGAGGGCACCCTGTGGCAAGAAGCCCAGGTAAGAGAATTACAAGTGACAGAGGAAACCTGGAAGCCCAGGTGCAGGCTAACACACTTAATGAGTGTTTTGGCCGTGGACCCTGATGAAACCACAAGTACACAGGAGACTGAGGGCAGGGCCCCTTCCCTGCTGAGTGCCCCCTAGTTGTGAAACAGAGAATGGAGCATGTGCAATCCACGGGGACCCGGGGGTTGGCTCATGGCATGCCTACGGTAAGGAAACATATCATTTACTCTGCTTACACGCCTGCAGAGCTGTGGGAACTGGGGAAACAGTGCAGACAACGCCCTGGGGAAGACTTGCCTGCCTGGTTGCTGCACTTATGGGGCGAAGGGATGGATAGTGTCCTGCGTTTGCCAAGGGAGATGGAACAACTGGCATCCATAACTATACGTCCTTCCCTGAGGCAGTGGCTACAGACAAATAGTTGCCATGGGGGGGGGGCGACCACTCCTCCCTTGAATGGCTCATGGATGCTGCCCACACAGTATGGAAGGACTCCGGAGAACTACCCTAAGCCTTCAGGAAGTGGACTTCACACGTTGGTGATGTGCGCTGACTGGACCTAATGGGCGGGAAGGAGTAAGTTCTACAGGTGCCTTACTAAATAGAACTCTAGGAATGCAGAGACTGGGTTCAGTTTGACCGATGTCCTCTGGCTCCCATCTGTCTCCAACACTACTGTGAGCCTGCACCCACCCAGCCTCTGGCAGGGTCAGTCCATAGTTACCAACTATGGGATTGAACATGTCCATGTCCGCCTGTCTCAGCCTGGGCATGACTTTCCCCCATGATGCAGCAACTTTCTTGCAATGTTGAGCAAACCCTTTGCTGGACCCAGGACCCTGACTGGGTTTGACCCAGGAGGAGGGGACAGATAATCCTGATGTTTTTAACGGGTACGGCCTGTACTTTGATGTCCTTGGAGAGCTGCCGAGGACTCTCCTGAACTTAGGATGTGGCTCTGGCTGTGCTGTGTGATCTGGCACAAACCTTTGGTAGTCATCCAGCATGTAGGCATTATCTTTGACCACTCAGATTCTTTCCTCTGTGTCATCCATCCTATTCTTAAGGCTTTCCACTGTATTTTGTGTTTCCTTAAATGCTTCTTTCATTTCCAGAATTTCTGTTTATTTCTTTCATAATATTTCAATTTCTTTAGAGAATTTTTCATTCATTTCCTGTATACTTCTTGTGGCTTCTTTGTGTTGGGTTTCTATTTTCTCTTCAGTTCCATTGAGTTTTCTTACAATCCATATTTGGAATTCTTTCTCCATCATTTTAATCATTTTGTTTAAATTGATATCCGTTGTTGAGGATGTAATTATTTCTTTTGTGGGTGACTTTTCTCTCTGATCTTTCATGTTTCCTGTGTTCTTTGACTGATTCTTTCTCATCAGGCTACTTTGTCGAGAACTGGGAGTGATAGGACTGGCTTATGGCCCTATGTCCAAGTCCCCGAAGGGACGTTCCTTGACAGTGCTGGGGAGAGGCAGGCTGGTCCTGTATTGCCTTAGAGGTATTTTAGGAAGTTGGGTTACCTCTGACCTGTTGTCCTCACCTCTTGCCAGTGGAGATTAGTGATTTTGGTCCCACAGCTTAAGCTCTCAGGTGGTGAATCGCACTTGTTGTATGCCTCCACTGCCCTCTAATAGCTTGGGATGGAAGGCACTGTGTTAAGCTATGGGATTATCTTCTCTGTTATTTGTTGTGTTTTGCATGGAAGAGTCAGTTATCAAGTCATCTGATGCCTCTGTTTCGGGCTCTGGACCGCCGGATAGGGTATACAAATGCCGCGATCT